GGGGCCGGCCGGGCCGGGCATGGGGAGAGTCCTCTGAGGTAAGGTGGTTGCGGCCGAGGCCGGGGGTGGCAGCCCCAGGGGTTTGGCACCGGGCTCCAGCGTCATGTGCCGGGCCTGCGCGTGGTACGCCCGTGCCAGGTTGCGGATGGACGCTTCCCGYGGCGGCACCACCGGGCACGGCTCGTGCGCGTCCGGCTTGCGGAAAAAGGCCTCCGACTTGACGTACAGCGGGAGGTTGCAGTAGTCACCTGGAGAGGGAAAAACAGTGGGTGAGGCTCTGGAGAAACCCTCTTGGCTCCCAACCTCAGTGTTGGGCTGTGGAGAACGCGTTGGGCTGTGGAGAACCTGTGTGATGGAGAACACATTGATCTACAGGGAACGTGTTGTGGTGTACGGAACAGATCCTGCTACAGAGAGCAAATTCTACTGCAGAGAACAGATCCTGCTACAGAGAACGGATCCTGCTGCAGAGAACATATCCTGCTATAGAACAGGTCATGCTACAGAGAACAAATCCTGCTGTAGAGAATACATTCTGCTATAGAATGTGTTCCAGCTACAGAGAACAAATCCTGCTACAGAGAAAAAAATCCTGCTGCAGAGAACACATTCTGCTATAGAACAGGTCCTGCTATAGGGAACAAATCCCGCTATAGAGAAAATATCCTGCTGTAGAGAACACATTTTGCTATAGAACAGGTCCTGCTACAGAGAACAGATCTGCTACAGAGAACAGATCCTGCTATAGGGAACAAATCCTGCTGTAGAAAACATTCTGCTGTAGAGAACACATCCTGCTACAGAATAAATCCTGCTATAGAGAGCACATTCTCCTATAGAACAGGTCCTGCTATAGAACAGAATCTGCTGCAGAGAACAGATCCTGCTATAGGGAACAAATCCTGCTATAGAGAACACATTCTCCTATAAAACAGGTCCTGCTATAGAGAGCAAATCCCGCTATAGAGAAAATATCCTGCTGCAGAGAACACATCCTGCTATAAAACAGGCCCTGCTATAGAGAGCAAATCCTGCTGYAGAGAACACATCCTGCTATAGAACAGGTCCTGCTATAGAAGGAGAACACTTTGTGCTGTAGAGAACACTTTGTGCTGTAAAGAACGTACCACGCCGTCATCCCAAAATTGTCCYGCTCCCTGCAAAGCAACGCCTGGGATGCATCAAGCTCTAGCRTTCAGTGTTGTACATAATGTCCTGTGATGTATCATAATGTAATGTTGTTAATTATATAATCCTAAATGTACATGATAAATATGATCATGTGAKGTAATACCAAGTGTGCAGTGTAGTTCAGTATTGGAATAGTAACGATGCAATGCTCAGTGTCTGTGGCATGTGACGGGCACAGATCCCATTCTGTAAAACGGGAAATATTCCTTGTACTCCGTGTCCCGCCTGTGCCAGCAGTGGGCTGTGCTGTGTTATACACCAGGATTCAGAGTGGCTGTGCTGCCATAAACAATAGATTCTGCTATGCTGTGTTATGGCATCATCTATAGTTAGTACCTTAATTTAAGGGTTTTATGTCTATGTATGGAAAAGCCCCTGTGCTGTTATATTGGCTCTTATAGGTGTTAGAGTGTTTTATTTCTGTTATATTTCGCTGTTGCCTTTGTGTTCTACAGCATCACCTCCAGCTGTAGGGCCTTAATTTAAGGATTTATATGTCCATAGATGTAAAACCCTGTTATTAGTTTGCTTTTTATATTTGCAATATATAACACCTCTATCCATAGACTATTACTGCTTTAATTGTATATATTGTGTTCTGTGAGGGCATGTTCCTCTCTTTACAGGATGTGGAGGGAAGGTATTGCAGGATATGTGGTATTAATATAGGATACAGCACATATAGATATAGGATTATATATATCAGCACCTTTAGTTAAGGAGTTAGGGTTATGTGTGTATATATATATATATAAATATATAATTTAAATGTATATATAAACATATAATATATATATAATTATATAAAAATTAATACATAAACTTATATATCAAATATATAAATAGAGAAAATGTTATAAAAATATATAATTTAAATATGGAGATATAAATTTGGATATAAAAGATACAATGAAAAAAAAAACCTACTCTTGCTGGCGCGGTGCGGGATGGGCACRGCCACGCCCTTGCCCCGCTCGCTGTCCTGGGGTTTGGGCGGGGAGGCGGTGAAGCGGCAGATGCCGGGCTCGGACGGGGTGCTCATGGAGGTCATGCTGTCAGCATTGTCCGTGGTGCCCGTGGTCATCTGGTCCGAGGAGCTGTCGGAGATGAAGCACTCGGTGATCTCGAACTTGGCGTGCTGCAGCTGCTCCTCCAGCTTGGCGTGCTCGTAGGCGCGCGCCAGCTCCTCGTAGGTGGACGAGGCGCTCTCGGTGGACACCATGCTGTTCCGCCCCTTGTCTGTGGGGAGAGGSTGTGTCACCTACCTGGGAGCTCTCCCTGGCACCAGAATGCCTTTTTCCACGTCAGGGGAATGCCCAGGCTGTCCCTGCTGAGATATACCCAGCCACCTTCAAGGCCAGGCTGGGCAGGGCATGGATGAGCCTGGTCCAGTGGAAGGGTGGAACGAGATGAGCATTGAACCCAACGTTCCAACCCAAAGTTCCAACCCAAACCACTTTGTTCTTTTATGATTCTATCTGTCCCCACAGCTGGCACGGCCCTGGCTGCTCAGAGCCACCTGGTAGKTTCTGCCATCACCCCAAACTCTGAGTTTGGGGTCTCTGTGTGCCCCAAGCACAGTGCCAGGSAGGCTCTGGCCCCGTGTACCTGTGTCCTGCGAGAGGCTGGCGCTGTAGCTGTCACTCTCGGTGACCGTGATGCCATGCTGGGAGCCCACTGTCCTCCAGTCCGAGGTGAGGGTCCGTGCAGGCGTGGACGCCTGGCACTTGGTGAGTGTCCACTGGCTGGAGTAGCGGTTGCGGGTGCTGTGCGCAGACTTGACGCTCTTCCTCGACACGGGGTCTGCACGAAGGTGACAGAGGTGACAAAAGTGACACGGTGGGTCCCTCCACATGCTGTCCTGTCTCCCTGGAGCACTGCCTGCCCCTTCTGCCTTCCCAGCAGCTGCTTTTGGGCACGGCCGGTTCTGGGGACAGCCTCCCCCACCCTGCCCTGTGTGTACACTCACTGGTGCCGGGGCGGATGTCGGACATGTCGATGAGGGGCCCCGTGTTCTGGATCAGGGCTGGGTGATGCAGAGAGACGCCCGTGCAGAAGCTCTGGGGGTTCACGGCCTGGCTGAACTCCGTGTCGGTCACCGGGATGGTGGCTTTGTCATCCCCTGTGGGAGGAAGCTGCAGCTCAGGCCTCTCTCTGCCCAGGCGATGTGGGCACCTGCTGGCCCACACTCGGCCCATCCATGGCACCCCAGCACTGCAGGGCAGGAGGAGATGGGAGCTTGGGCTGTGCTTACCCAACTGCTTGATGCCTTCCTTGTCCTCGATGAGGAGCTGAACCCGCGGGATGTCGATGTGCAGGCGGGGGCCCTGCGGGGGTCCCTTCACCGGCGTGTCAAAGCTGCGGTTATTCTTGCTGTGAGTGAGAGGGGACGCAGACCCGCCCATTACCGGACAGAGCCCCGGCGTCTCCAGCCGGGGAAGGGCTGGGGATTGCCACCAGCCAGCCCACCCGGGGCTCAGCTCTGCCCAGGCAAGCTCCAGTGTGGGTGCTGGCACCCTCGGGCAGGCAGGAGCAGCTGCTGTGCTGCAGAGGCACTGCCACAACATTCACAAGTGGGAGTCCCAGAAGTTCTGAGACTGAGTGAGGGCTGCACCGGGGCTTGAAAGCCACCAGGACCACCCCCAGCACCAACCATTCCCCTGCCTGCCCACCCAGACACAGACACAGGCAGATACGAGACTCACCTGATCAGCATTTCTGCCAAACTCTTCGCATCTGTATAGGAGACACAAAAACCAAGGAATTTTATTTTAGGGAGTTGTTTAGGGCACAACGACACAGCCCAGGAACAAAATCTGGGGTCCCATGTGCTGTGCCTCTGAATCCCATCTCACCTCGAAGCCTCTTCAGCCGCTTCTCCTTCCTCTTCTTGCGGATGATGAAGAGCAGGGCCACTCCCAGCGTGGCCAGGATCACGGGGCAGGCGATGGTGAACAACTTCTTCACGTCATCACTTTCCCCTTGGGCAGACTTGATCGGGGGGATGGTGCCTAGGGCAGAGCATGGCACTCAGCACCCTGGGCTCCCCAGTTTGGTGTCATTTGCCCCCTGGTTTGGTGTCATTTGCCCCCTGGTTTGGTGTCATTTGCCCACCCCGTGTCCCCCACTCACTGCCGTCGTAGTCCAGCGTGGCGAACTGCGTGGTCTCGTTGCCGCAGCCGGCGCTGTTGCAGGCCTTCATGCGCAGCTCGTACCAGGTGGCCTCGCGCAGCTCGGTCAGGAACACCTCGCTGGAGCTGTTGGTGCGAAGGCTCTGCCACACCCAGTTGCCTTTGGGCCGGTACTCCAGCACGATGGCGGTGATGGGGCAGCCCCCGCTGCTCCAGCCCTGCAGGTTCAGCCGGGCGTGCGTGGAGTTGATGTGCGTGAAGAGGTGCTGGTCCTTGCTGAAGGAGGGCTCTGCGGGACAGGGGCTGTCAGGAGGGTGGGGAGGGGACAGCGGTGTCCCCAGCGGGGCAGGGGCAGGGTCAGGGCGGGCCGGGCTCACCTCTGCCGTGGGTTTTGGCCTCGATGATCTCGCTGATGCGGCCGGCGCCCACGCTGTTCTTGGCCGCCAGCTTCACCTTGTACCAGGTGCCGCACTTGAGGCTCTCCAGCTTGAAGGAGCGCTCCGAGGAGCTGATGAACACATCCTTCCACTCCTCGCTGTTGTCCACCGAGTACTGGAGCACGAAGCCTGCGGGGTGAGGAGGGGGATGGGTGGGCACATGGGGGAGGGGAAGGGCTGTGGCTGGCACAAAGCTGTGCCCAAGCCCAACGCAGCCTTACTCCACCAATTCCTGCCTTACTCCACCAATTCCTGCCTTACTCCACCAATTCCTGCCTTACTCCACCAATTCCTGCCTTACTCCACCAATTCCTGCCTTACTCCACGCTCACGAGTGGTGGTGGTGTAAACTGCCTGCTCTGCCCACCACACACACCCAGGCAGGAGCCACAAACAAGAGCAGCGTGGGCACCCCTACAGAGCCCCCTGGTCACCCCTGGCCTGCCCCCAGCGCTCCCAGGACGGCCCCACTGCCCATTCCCACACGCTGTGATTGACTGGTGCGAGGCTATAAAGGGAAAGCCGGAATTAAGCAGCTCCCTCGGGAGGCTGCAGGGAAGTTGCTTCTGTCATTGCACACCGCCTCCTCTCCCGTGATGAGGAGTATTAGGAAGCACACTGTGTCCTAGATGAGCAAACCTGTTACGCTGCCGTCAACAAAGCGCCTGGAGACGGCTGCTCCGAGCTCCCGGGAGGGACACAGGGACACAGGGACAGCCCCGAGGGCATCGGGGCATCCCAGGGCAGCACATCCCCACTGCCCCGGCCGTGCTGACCAAAAACCGAGAGGTTTGGCTATTTTTGCAGGATATGTAGCCAATTCTCCAATAAAAATAGCAGGGAAGAGTAGGCTTCCTGCCTTGCTGTGTGCATAATGAGCTGCACAATGCAGGGCTGGCAGGACCACCTCCAGTGCCAACACCACCCAGGTACCACCGTGGTGATTCCAGAGTGTTCACACCAAGGATTTCTGTCAACACCCAGCCCCAGCTTGGGAAAAGCAGTGGGGATGTTTTTCACACCTTCCCAGTGCCAAGGATTCCCTGTGGACCTTCCCAAGGCCATGGGCACGTGGTTCCCAGCAGTGCCAACACCAGCCCCGACACCCCCACACCACCCACCCCGGTGCCTGCCACTGCTTATTTATTTATTTTGTACATGCGGCGTGTTTTTAATATTTCTAATCCAATTATAACCAAATTTATCAACAGAGTCCGCTGGAGTGAAAGGCTGCTGGCTGGGGAGATTTGCTTGTAATTACTTTCATGCTTTTAATTAATTGTAAGCGAGGTCTCCTTCCTCGCTCCCCGCTCCCCCCTCCACACGCAGCTGTTTCAACGTATAATTCATGAGATGAATCAGAGCAGAAAGGAGACTTGGGAAAGCTGGGATGCTCCTGGAGCCCTCCCAAAGCCCCCAGCCTGTCAGGGATGCGGGACAATTCCTGCTCTGGTGGGTTCAGAGTGGCACCAAGGCCAGGAGACACGGAGCAGCACTGGGGCTGGCCCTGGCCACCAGCACCCAATGATGTGCCACTCATCAGCTACCTCAGTCCCTGCAGCTTGTCCAAAAAACCTCACAAGCCCCTCTTTAGGGCTGGCAGCCCCTGCTAAGAGCTCAGAGGCATCAACCTTACTCTGAAGCATTTCTGAGGCAGTTTGGAGAGGGAAAAACTGAGGTGCAGAGTGAAAAATGCGGCACAGTGTGCCTGGAAATATGTTCTATGAGAATGGAACCAGTCATGGTTCTGGAATGAGTGTCCCATCACTCACAGCAGCCCTACCTCGGATGGAGCTGCCCCCATTGTCCCCAGGGATCCAGGCCAGCGTGATGGACGATGCCGAGGTCTTGGACACAGTCAGGCGGGGCTGGTCCGGGGGCACTAGGGAGGAGGGAAAGCTCATGAGCACCCCACACATGCTCACACACCCCAAATTGTGCCCCCAAAATGCCAGTGAGACCCCTCACTCATGCCTGGACTGGCACAAGCCTGCGAGGACAGACCCGGGCACCAGTCAGCGGGGATGGAGCGTGTCCAGGCAGGGCACACACAGAGGTGGAGCCCTCACCTTGCACCAGCAGGTTGATGATGATGGTGTCAAAGCCCCAGGTGTTGGTGGCAGTGCAGGTGTAGTAACCCGAGTCCTCGGCTTTCACCGAGCGCAGCACCAGCGTCCCGTTGGCCTGGATCAGGCGGTGGCCGTCCACTGTCACCGGGATGGCAGAGTCCTCGCTGCTGGCAGAAGGGCCACRTGAGCCGTGTGTGACACAGCCAGGGCCACATGAGCYGTGTGTGACACAGCCAGGGCCACGCAGCTGGCACCAGCCCCTGGCACAGCCCCCTCCATACCTGTCCTTGGTCCATTTGATGGCAGGGACCGGCTCCCCGACGGAATTGCACGGCAGCCTCACGTCCTTCATCCACGGCGTGGTGACGGTGCCTCCGAAGGAGATGATCTTGGCGGGGGCTGGGGGACAAGGAGGAGGTCAGCCTGGGGCGGGGGCTCATGCACAGACCCTCCAAGGTGTGAGCAGACCCCGCGCTGCCCCTCCCTGCCCTGGGGTCACCCCGCCGCTGCTTCCCGTGGCGCAGGACACAGCAGAGGACGTGTCCCCCAGGCTGGCAGCCCGTACCTTTGCTCGCAGGCTCGATGGTGACCTTCTCGCTGATGTTGCCGCGGCCGGCGGAGGTGACGGCGGCCACCCAGAGCAGGTACTGCTGCCCCCGGTTCAGGTGGGCGATGCGGTAGAACAGCTGGTCTGGGCTGGTCTCGTACTCGCTGGGGGCCTGCGGGGAGCGACACGGCGGAGGTGAAGCCTCGGTGAGACCCTCAGCGCATCACCCGGAGCTCAGCCCCACACCCTGCTCCGGTTTATCCTGCTCAGCTCTCCGCGCATCGCTCAGTGCCGCCCAGAGCCAGCTGGTGTCGTGATTCCTCCAGGGAGCCGGGCTGCAGCCCGAGGAACAGATGGCTGCACCGTCGTGGCTTCTTCCCGGCAAAGGACGTTTGCCTGGCACATGCCAAGCTGCAGCGGGGCCAGCCCGGAGGCGACCCCAGCCGGGCTGGCCCGAACCCTCTGCGGTCACAGCGAGAGGACGAGGGGTCCCCAAAACCACGTGGGATCACTCCTGCATCACTGACAGCGACTGCCCCAGCCCTGCGGTGGCCCTGGGGACAGGGCTGGCTTGTACTGGGGCCAGTCCCCATCGCACCGGGGCAAGTCACCCTGCCCCGAGCACGCCACGAGGGGAAGGAATGGCTGGCGCTGCACCCGACTGTGCCACCGCGGCAGCACCGGGCACGGATGGGGCTCCACGACCCCCGTGGCACAGGGTGGGTGCATTTAAAGCTGACCACTCATGCATTCACCATCGCACACACGTGTCCTTACAGGGACATGGATGTGAGTGTACCCCAAAGCAGACACACCTATATGAATATTGTATAGTATACATAATTTTTTTTTTTTTACCCAAATGACAGTTTTGACAAGATGCCAAGAAAACAATATCGGATCCCAGCGGTTTTACCAGTTGCTTTGATGAAAAGATTATGTTGCCCTGGAAACCAGAGGCTCAGATAGTGAAATGAGTTTGAGAAGGAGCTTTTGATAAGCACTAGTCTGCAGACCTCCCATCAACCTCTCCCTCACCAAGGAGGGATGGGGCCAGGTTGGATTTTTACTCATTTTCCGTCAGCTGCTGGCATGTTTCCCCCTCTGGAGCAAGCGCTGAGCAGGGCAGATGCCAAGGGATGGGAACAGAGAGATGATGGGACCATTCCCTGCTGCAGTGCCCATGGATGCCCTTGGACAATTCCGCAGTGCACCCCAAGAGCTCTCTGCTGCTGCTGCTGCTGCCTGGCATCAGCTCTCCCTCCCGTTCCTGCTTGGCCCGCTCAGCATTCCCTGGCACACTGTGGTGATTTCCAGCCCCATTCCCATCACGTACCGGCTGCCCCGAGCCGGGGCTGGAGCAGAAGATGGTGTATTTGCGAATGATGCCGTTGGGCTTGGCTGGTGGCAGCCAGGACACCACCACGCTGCTGGCAGAGGATGGCACCGCCTTGATCCCGGCTGGGGGACCTGGAACTGAGGAGGGAGAGCGTGGCTGAGCTGGTACCGGGAGATGTGACAGCAAGGTGGGAGATGTGACAGCATCCTGCTGTGGGGCTGGCATCCCAGCCACACCCTGGGCAGCAGCTGCTGGTGTCACAGCACAGGCAGGGACACGTCTGCCTCTCCACGGGTGGCTCCGCTCCCCGTGTGAGCTGGAGGCAGGAGGGTTAATTGCAGCCCAAGCTCTGGTTTAGAAATCATGATTGGCTTTTAATGGCCATCTCCTTAATCTGTCAGCCGTACCCTGCCCAGCTGCGCCTCCCTCCCAGCATCTGGCGCTTCCTAGGACACAGGCCCAGGGATGCTCTGCTAGAGAGCTAATGGCATTAAAGTAGGGCAGGCGGGGTGTAAATATTTAAATATCCGCACTTAAGGAAAAGAAAAAAAGGGAAAGGGAAATGCCCTGCCCGTGGCTGTACACGGGGGGTTTCCCCTGTGCCCTGGCAGCCGCTGCAGCCCTCGGGCACGAGAGAGTGGCAGTGCCACTTACTGTCCTCCTTGGTCTGGATGTAGAGCACGCTGCTGCGGACGCCGTCCCCCGCCTGCGTGTAGGCCAGCACCTGCACGCTGTAGTTGGTGAACTTCTCCATGCCCCGCAGCTCCACTCGCTCCCGCGTGGTTGTGATGTTCTGCATCTCGCCCCACTCTGCAGGAACACGCCCTGTCAGCCCCCGTGGCACCCCCGGGTCCCCTGTGTCACCCGCTCCCCACCAGCGCTCACCTCCGTCCATGTAGAGGGACCAGAAGATGACCCGGTAGCCCTTGAGCACCCCGTTGAGGGTGCTGCGAGGGGGCTCCGACCACGAGATCACGGCCACGTCCGAGGTGATGGAGATGGCCCGCACGTTCTCGGGGGGCTGGCTGGGCACTGGGCAGGGCACACAGAGGAGGACAATCAGCAGGAGGATGGAGATGCCAGGCTGAAGGAGCCGTGTGCCACGCACCCACACGGACCCCACTGCGCTGCTGGATCCCACAACCAGTGCTCTGCCTCCAGCATCCTTTCCTTCTCCTGGCCCAGCGAGGTGGATGTGAACCCTGCACTGGTGGTGACAGGGAGGATGCTTCCCAGCGAGGGGAGAGTGGGAGAGCTGGCTGGATGCGAGGTAATTAGATCCCATTGCCCCGCAAGAGGTAACTCTAATTTTTATGAGCATTTAAATGATAATACATCACCGTAACGATCCTCTTTGAAAATGATTATTGTTTCATATTACTTAGGTGCAAAAATATAAGCACCATGTAATTAGGGACAGAGTATAATAAACTAATACAGATAGTCCGTTTGAACGAAATGAAGGTAATATAATTATGGAAAAGACACTATTGCTAAAACAGGGGCCTTTGAATACCCCGGGAGGAGTGCTAATGCAGCCAGGAAACGATCGCGGTTTGACAGGCTAACGAGAGCCTTAATTAAGTATGAAAAACTGCTGAGCAAACGCACTGCAAAACTTTTTCCTCATTGTTTTTAAAACGACTGAGGCCACCAGTGAGTGTGCCCCAGATGGAAATTTGCCTGGTACTTCCACAGTGCCAAAATCCACCGTGAACCCTTTAACGGTGCCACAAACCCGGTGCCATGGGAATCCCGATACCCCTGTGCTCCTGGGGGCGGGGAGGGCGCACAGAGCCACCACCCCAGACCTGCCTGGGATGGCCAGGGAGTGACTGAGGGTCCCCAGGCGGGACCTGGCCCTGGTTTTGTCACTGGGCCACCCTTACCA